GAATCACTTTAATCGATAATTATGATAATCATTAGTTGTAGCCCAAGTTTGCACACAGTCATACTATGTTCATTGTGCTACAGAGAGCACTGATTGTTGTCTGTCAACATATCACTGTTTTGTCCCACATTCACAGTCATGAGAGGTTCTCAAGGAGGTCTGACGACTCACACTTAAATCTGAAGTCACAGGTGTGGAGAGTGAACAAGAAAGGTGATCTTACTTTCTGTGGTACCTCTCTGCCGCTCTGCAGTGTGTCCAACACACCACACAGTGCAGTCCATTACTGAAGTGGTAAATAATTCAGCAAAACATGGCGCTCCTCCCTGGAGCAGGAAGGGCTCGATGGTGTGAAAGACACTGCATACATCAAACACCCTGATTCTAACCGTGCCTCTCAACTTCTGCTGGTGGGAAGCAGATAAAACATTTTCTAATGTGCGAGTCAATCATCAGAGGTCTGGTCTGCTGCTTCTGACTGTACAGGGTGATTATAATGTGTGCAGGAAAAACCTCTGCAGGCTTTTGCAAATGAAGACTCTGTAACTTCCATCTCACCTGAGAGGAAGTGATAGACAGGTATGAAATCAGGTGTGGGTGGGGGACGGACAGTGCAGTAGCATTGCTGAGTTTACAGTAGTCTTGTGCTGTGTTGACTGATGCTTCCATCACAGGAAGCAGATCCATGTCTGAAACACTTCCAGTAGCAGCAGTGGCAGCGATTACAATAAATCTCAGCCTCTCCTCCGATTATCTGCCCGGCTGAGAGCGGAAACCATTAACGCTCACCGCTGCCTGCTCCTCGGTGCACATGTTAATTTGACAGAAAACACAATTGTGTCACCAGCCACGTGGAACATGTTTTCTCATGCCTAACCAGCCAGAGTGGTCATGGCTGTTGCACCGGTGACGTGCCTGTTAGGGTGCACGTTAATTGGACTAAATCTGATGTCAACATTTGGTGCATAGGTGGAAATTCTCCCATCATTCACTTGCCTGAAAACTTCACCTTCTTATGTTTTTGTGAAGGCTTAGTCATTGTGATATTTTGGTGTTGTTTTTCCGGTTGTGTAATCGCAGGGGAGAGTGAGGGGGGATTGAGTAGTTGTCAGTCTGTGGGGCAGGTGCAGTTTGGCTCCTGGGGGACTGTAATGGGATGAGGCCCAGCCAGAATGAGTGTTTGATGACGGGGTTGCACTCCTCCCCTGGGACTCTGCCTGCATGCAATTATCCTCCTGATTCCTTCTTTCCTTTCTCGTCTGCAGCCCAGACTGTACACAGCACTCTCTCCCTTCCATTCACAGTCCAGAAATCAACTCCCTCACATGCTAAAGTAAAGTAATTATAACCCAAAATTTCAAAGCAGGATTGAAGTAATTACTCTTTTATGACACCCTCCAGCATGACATTACACTACCTCGGGGCAATTGAATTTACACTCACCTCCCTCTCCCCCCTTGCTAATTGCTTTATTAATGGAGAGCTTGCCGCCCCAAATCAGCTTGTCTCACATGAAATGAAATATCTCGCTGCCCTCCACCCACTGCAACACACTGAAACAAATATTTTACTCTCTAGTCTCCCCTAAATCTGCAATGAGCTTCTGCTTAAAATGCTCAGTATGAAAACAGAAAAAAAAAAATCCTCCTTTTGTGATATGCAAATTGCGTCCACTGCAAAACATCTCCATCTTGCTTGGCTGAAAACAGCAATAAGAAATGTGTGCTGTCTTTATTTTCATCTGTGCTTACTTGTACTGAAACATTTATTGGCACCAAACTAAATTTTCTATCACCCACAGTAATGAGGCGATGCCATATAAAGAGTAACATTTTCAGCTGCCATCTCCAGAGTGAGAATTGTATCCTCCCTGATCAGAGAAAGGAGATTGCTACATTCAATTGTTTTTCCTCCACAGAGCTGGTTTTCCTAGGGTTGCATGTGAGGTAATCTATCACAGGTCCTTCCAGTTCCCCTCCCCCATATCACATTATGTTGACAGCTTCATTGCCTCCTCTCTACAACATGCTCATGTAGTATCAACCACAGACAAAGGATGAGAGGCTGATAAGATTTCACGCGATACTCTCAGAGCTGGCAATGTAGTGCCAGCTCACAGAGAAACCCGGATTCAGTCATGATACAATAAGAAGATAAGGGAAGATATTAGATTTTTTTTCCCACATGGATGTAAACTGACTTTTCCATGACTATAAAATATTTAAAACACAGTAACCTTTCTTTCAGGACTGCATCTAATGATTATATACATAATCAATAAATCTGCCCATTATTTTCAGAATGCTCATTAGTTTCGTAGACCAAGGTGATGTCATCAAGTGTCTGATTTTGTTTGACTAACAGATTAAAACACTGAGATAATCAATTAAATGTAATGTTAAGATAAGGAAAAGCAACACATTTTCACATTTGAGAAGCTTGAACTAGGAAATGATTGTTTTCTTATATAAATAGATTCAACAATTGATCCATAATCACAACAGTAATTCTTTCAGCTCTACTTTCTTTTGTTCTTTTCAGTTGTACCCAAATGCAGCCGCTGTGCTCCCTCTCCTCATGTGCCAAAATACAGAAGTGTCTCTGCACCCACAGCAGCTCACCGGCGTGCTTGACGGTGCAGTCTTTTTATGTCAGGCCGGGGACGATGTGAATATCTTCCATCTCTTTCTTCACAAGCTGCGCCCACACTTGATAATACTCTGTAAAAACATTACACACATTACAGCAATCTTTTCCTCACAGCTTCGCTGCGTCAAACCAAATTAAATTACACTGCCTGTGCCTCGTGCGTGCCTGATGACGGTGGCTGCTGATCATCAGCATCCTCTGGAGTGGGACACAGGTGTGCAGAGGGGCCCTCCTGCCTCTGTGATCCGTCACCGAGGCCAGACACGGGCCAGGCTGGATCGGCTTAGGCACGTGCCGAGGGAGGGCTCTACCTCCCCCCTCCCTCCTCCTCCTCCTCCTCCACCCCGCCCCTTAGGAGACTCCCTATTCAGACCACCAGATGGGGGCTGGATCTGAGTTTTAATGAATGCTATCCTTCAGTACCCTTTAAAAGCCGCAGAACAACAGTCGCCCTCAGCACGTCTCACTGCAGTTTGGTACCTGGCAATACAACATTATACTGGATGATAAAACAAGAGGAGGGAGGAGATGTAAGAGGAGGAAATACAGTATGTTTCTGTCGTAAATTTACATCCAAATAATTTATTTCTTATCTTGCAGGAAGTGTTTTATTCCCACAAATACTAAGAGACTCACATGTCAGAATTTTGTAATGTAGCCTATAATTTAGTGAACAGTGTCACATCAAAATGGGCTGGTTTATATTAAGGAGCTGTGTCGACCTCCTGCTGTTTGAAGTGACACAGTAACACTAACCTGTAATTTTACCTCGAGGTTAAGAGCAGGGGGCAAGATTGACAATAACGGGGTTTCCTTTTTGTTTTATCAGGTGTCACACGTGCGTATTTATCCAATAAAAATAATTTCTAAAACATGTTTTTAGTTAACATAGATAGATACAGGCATAGCACTAAATTATGGTATGTTGCCTTCTTTTAAGTCTTTCATTTGGAGTCGGACACCTTGGCTGCTCACCAACCCTGCCACTTATGTGTGAGTCTGTGAAGACAGAGTGAGAAACACAAAATGTAAAAAGAAATCCATCAGTGTTCAATCCCAAATCCTAAAATGATAATGTGCTGCTCTGTAACATGGTGAAGTTGAAGATTCATTAGTTTGTTGAAATAAAACCTTAAAATTGTCTCTGTATTAATTCTTAAATAAGATAGTACTTAATTATTTTCTTCTCACAGTCTTGATTACTCAACTGGCTCAAATCGGATCTACAATCAACATGAATAAACATTAAATGACTTTGCATGTATTCATAACATGGGAGCACGTGAGATCCCTTCAATCACAGTTGGTTTCCATCCAGCCTGATGCATATGTTCTTCATTGGGTGGAAATAAATTGGTTGTGTAGATGCTGCCCCTGACTCAGTGACCCTTGTCTGTCTCTAGGTGAATTGCTTTCACGGTGTGTTAAACGAGCCGTGGCCGTGTTGGTGTTTCCCTCCACACGGCGGCCGGGGCTCTAATCCGCTGTCTGCCAGAGTTATGTCACACACCAGCTATTGTGGAGGGTTTGATTGAAGACGCCAGATCTGACTAATTGATCCCTCGCCGCAGAGGTGCTCGGACACATGGGCCAGGGCTGAGATGTGTGAATTGGCAGTCCAGTCACATGACTGGCATTAGGCCAATCAAAATTTTTAGATTCAGACAGCGTGCAGCTTTGTTGTGAAGAGGCAATACTGACAGATGGTGTGTGTGAGAAACTGAAAATGATTTTAGGTGTGTACAAATAGAGAAGGGAAAATTGGATTACACAATGCCTTTGCTTCCTTATTGCCATTTTTATAGCATGTTGTCCTTTAAAATATTGTAGTAAACTCATCTCTCTGTCTACACATCAGCACACTGTGGAAAGCAACAATAACAGAAAGATATTAAAACAGCATATCTATGATGATTTGGTAGTAAGTTGGAATTAATGATACTAAATGTAGCCTTGACTTTCCAGAGACCAATTTATAGTGTAAGTGTAAAATATTCACTGCCTTCAGTTTAATTCAGTCAGGTCATGTGTTGCAGCTGATTACAAGGCAGCATGTGATGCTGCCATCTGTCCAAACGCTGTGAAACAATAACTTAAATTCTCACCAGGCACATAGCTAAAATTTTATAAAAAGTATTTATACTGTGAGAATCACGCTAGTGCAGTGTATCTCCGGGCTTGTCAGATGCACAAATGCGATACTGAAAATTTATCCAATATGTTGTGTTAATGTTTGTGTTAGACTGCGTACAATTATATGTCGAAAAAGCAGCATGTGGCATTAGGGGTCAAATATTAAAATGGAACAGAAACTGGACAAGATTCAAGAGCAGTATGTTTTTCACGTGTATTTCACAGATTAAGGATGTCATACACAGGCATAGGTACCATTTGAAATGTTTTGATGTCGATGTGATACCTGAGCTTTGGTACTGTAACCAAAATTATACTTTTTTTTGAAAAATCAGTGCTAGAGACAAACTAGTCAAACACTGCATCAAGATATAAATAGACATATACATTTGGCCATTTTCCAGTTCTACAAAGACCCCAAGACTGACAGTCACCGGTTTAATACTGACAGCAGGTCTCCCCACACACTCAGACCTCTAACATCAAAATCTCCATCAGAAATCTTCAAAGCATTCAGCTCTTTCTCCACATCATCCCTCAAAGAGGGACAAGTCTCAAACAAGGCCTGAAAGTGCTCAGTCAGTTTCTGGAAGGACACTGTGGGGTTTGTGCTGGTTTGAACCCATTCACCCTCACTTATGCTGTACTCCATATCAGAGGCCCACTTTTTCAGTACATCATAGTATGCATCTCTAAATTTCAGGTGTTCTTTGGCCAGGTCCATAAGAAGTGCAGTAGGCAGTGCAGAACACATGTGCTTCAGCATGTGTTTTTTCTGCAGCCAGTCCATGAGAAAATCCTGCAAAGCAGTTTGTGCGGCCGAGTTTTCCGTTGTCAGCAGAGCTGCAGCAATGACCCGACAGAAATGTTCTGCTGCTCTTTCACATCCCTGGAGGACAGAGTCTAAAAAGTGCTCTGTCCTGCAGGCTTCACTGCTTTGGCTCATCAAAGCACCCAGCTTTTCCATCAGCATCACCCCCTGCACCTCAGCATCAGCACCAACAGCTGACGGGTCTGTGAGAGGATTCAAGACTTTACATGCAGATTTGCACTGGATCATGTGGCTGCAGAGGCCGGTAACATCCGGATACTCACTGTGCTTGGTGTCTGCAGGACTCTTGCTGTCAAAGAGTATCCTCATGATGGAGCTGGGCAGCTTAGGGTTGTTTAACAGTCCAAGGAGCAAGTGGTGTTGGCACCGGGGTAGGTCCGAGAAGGAGACTTCAGTGTATCCAGGGATGGCAGCTTGCAAACTTTGATTTGTGAGCTGGAGCTGCTTCTCCATAATCCTCCTTACCGCTGAGTTATTGTGAAACCTGGAAAAGAGGTGTTCGCAATACCGGGCCCAGTGGAAAGCTCTGGACAGGGTTTGTTTATCCCACTGCTCCACCACACCGCTGTGCGCCGCCACGGCCAGCAGCTCCACCGTGCTTGCCAAGTTTTTCAGCACCGCCTCCATGTGGCGCTCTCTGCGTTCAGAGTTCAGCCTCTTAGCCGTGGACAGCCACTGTGGAGGACAGACAAAACCTAAATGTTCACCCAAACCACCCACACCGCCGAGAAACTGATATAACTAACTTTATGGAGCTATCGAGCTAGCTATAGGTTAGTTAGCAAGTCAAGTCAACAAAGTGCAGCTAACGTTAAACAGGTCTTCCCGAGCCACGTTTCAAAACAACATCCAGCGAACAGCTAGTGTTACACACAAAAGTGAATATGAAACATTAACAAAGGACTGTTTAGTGGAAATAAACATGTCTGCTGTTGTTGAACTCACTTGTCTTCTTTTTCGCTTTACTCTTGTCCCGCCGCCCGTTTTGTCGCTTTTAACACTGCGCATGCGTCAGTGCATCCAAAGCTTCAACAGCTGTTTTCCTTCAAAATAAAAGCCTATAATTGCCAGACTACAGAAGAGGTAGGAAGCTAAACGAACTCAGTATACACACATTTTTAACACACACAGACTTTTCACTTAAATGATCTACAATATATGGGCAATGCTACTGTAAAGAAGTATCTAACCTGTATGATAAGAATCTATTCGTGCATTTCTGTGAACATAGCAATGCAGCATTTATATATTTGTGATTGTCTGCGTCATGATAATGGCCGTGAATTACTCAACATTTAACTAAAAATAAAAATGTAGCACTCACAAGTATAAATGTACCAAATTTGACACAGTTAAGGTCTGCCATTTGGATCAAAGTACATGGGCACATATAGAGAAAAAAAAAGAGAAAATCCATTAAATCAACGTGAATTGAATTTCACGGAGTAACCTGCTGAATTCAGCCCAGATATGTCATATTGAGGCAACACAAAGAGTAGAGAAGAGGGAGGCACTGCCAGCAGGATCAAACTTCCCTCCCATCAGCAGCAGCAACAGCAGCAGCAGCTTGCTGTGAGTGTATATATGTGTCTGTGTGCGGGCAGATCCTTGTGCAAATGCGCAGTGAGAAAGACCTCCCCGGTCCACATTGGCTCAGTGTTTTGGAGCCTAACCTGTAGATCGATGCACCGCTGTGAAAAGCATGAAAAGTGGGATCCAGCAGTTCAGAGGACGAGTGAGAGGAAGGTGCGCACCAACGAGCTGAACCCTCAGGGTGAGCACAGATATGAAGCTTTTTGTGGACTCATGCAAGACATTTTCGCTGCTTTCTTACTGCCAAATGAATGCCAGACTTTTGAATGTCTGTAAGCATATTCTTTTTTAGGTTTGGGGGTGTAACTTGCAGTCATTAGCTCTTCTACCAGAATAATGCCATCTTCTGTTGCTTGTTTAAAAGTTGGGGCTCAGAAAAATTCTTACTTCTTGACAATTAATGTAAAGCTGTAAAGTTTTTGTTATTGTATTTCTCTCAAAATTAATTCCAGGTGTATTTAATTACCCAGACTCTGGCATATTTTCTACAATTGCAGCTCTCAGTCATTTCATTGGTTTAATTAGAGTGTGCTCAGCTGGATTTCAGTCATAACTCATCAGGCATCCTCCCTTGATCTTATTTCCAGAGTGGTGAAATGTCTGTTGTGGTTGTTTTTTATTTGTGACAGTTGTAAAGGAGGAGACAGCCTTAAAACCTTATTGTAGTTGTAAATGAAATGTGCCGCCCAGGGTTTTAATAGGCCAATGCAACACAGTCCAAAACCAAGTTATGGCTCTAAGTTCAGATATATCAACAAATGTGAGTATCGCATTGTGAGCAATATATGTGTATCACATTCCTTGAATGTTGTTTTTTGATGGTTCAGGGGTCAACTGATGGCCTGAGACAGCCTGTTAGATTTTTTTAAAAGTGCAGTACAACATCTGAGGATTTATGACACTCCATGTGGGCACTAATGGACAAAAGCAGGGTGATATTATATATGATATATATGTATGATATGATATTATTACAAGCTTTGTGCTGTTTATTTATGTTTTCTTGTGTGAGATCATACAGCAGAATATTCTGCTTTTTATTGACATTTTCTGCTGGAGACATTGTAAAGCTGCTGATACGATCTGTTACCTGAATGCTACACTCACTCACAGTATTTATCTGCAGTAGAAACATGCTGAGTTCCCCTGTTTAAATGGACAAATCAGCCTCCGGATCAGTTTACTGTTGTATAGGAGAAAGGAATGAAGAGCGGCGAGGCTTACGAGGACAGAGCCACTCTTGTTATTTCTAATTGATGTGATTCAGCAGTCAAAATTCCCATCCATATGCCTTTCCTGAAGCAATCTGCAACCAACTGTGGCATGTTATGACGGCTTTACTGAAGTCATGAGGCCTCTCGAGCTGAGAAAATGTATATTTAGATATCCCTGTATATTTGAATATCTCTGAGCCATAAAGGTTATTTGTTTCTGATTCTAATCCCATCTCTAAAGTCAAATTCTGAGCTGGATTCTGAAAATCACACATAGATAGATGAAGCAGCAAGTTCAGCAAAGGGTACATGCAGCATAAAGCCTGGTGGTTCTGGCTGTGCTTTTGGTCTGAAGTTGAAGAGGTCAGGCTACGGTGTGATGAGAGGAACCAGGTATGTTCAATAACAGCTGGTTGTTTCTCTAAGGACTCTTTCCTGGGAAAATGTAGGGGAAACCCACAGGATGTTTGGTCATGGTCCTGCGGAGGAGAATACAATCTTTTGAACTAAGACTTACTATTACATCAAGATAAAAGATCAAGTCCCTAAAATTGAGTCAGCTCAACAGCAAATATGGGGACAATGCATTGTTTTAAATCATATTTTTAGCTCAAGAAGTAGAATTTTCTCAACCCTTAAAGGAGCAGGCTCCTTCAGTTTATCTGCAAAATTCTAAATCACAAACATGGCTTTCATCAGACACTGAAGATATTTAAAATATACAGTGTATTAAAAATAATGAGCGAAAGATATTTAAGATAACATCTTCTCTGGGCTAGAAAATAGTTGCCCATCAACAGCTATGTCAAATACCCATGTTTTTATTTACACATAGCAGCAGTGAATGGGTTTGTGTGAATGGGTTTTGTACTTTGAGACATGAGAATTTGTCCCAGTGCCCTTGTTCTGTCCGTCAGCCTGCACCACAGTGGACATGGGAATGTAGCACCTGTGTGTGAGTGCTGAGCTCCGGAGTTTAGTGTGTGTACGCAACGAGGAGCTCATGTCTTCAGGAAGATAAGACGACCTCGGTCCGACATCAAGGTCCTGATGTCCAGTGTTGCACCACTGTGTGATTTGGTTACAGCCAACTCCAGTGGGACCTTGAAATGTTACACAGCTTTAAAGGTCAGATTCCTCACATTGTGTTGCACTCCCTCGGTATTCAAAGGAAATTTTCAGCTATCACACACTATGAACTAATTGTTCATGGCAGCATTGCTCTCTTGTTTACATAAGCTCTTCTTGTAATTTGCATTAAATATCCTGATGCTATTTGCCTACCATGGTGGAATGTAAGGTGTTCTTGTTTGTGCCCAGGCTGGAGGTAACGTTGTTTAAATGTGACAAATAAATTTCACTTCCACTTTTTGTTTCTTTAATGTGGCCTGAACATAGAATGTAGCAGTGACAAACATACAGGATGGATACAGTACAACATAATATCATCATATCATCTGTCTGTCATCTATGCTCTTCAACAATCTGTAACAATAGGAAAAAGTTAAGGCTGCAACCTGGAGCATTATCAACTTTTAAAAAGAGCCACATCTTAAAAATTCTGAAAGAGTCTTTGTCCATTTTATGCTGTCTTCATCTCCTTATATCTTAAAATAAAATCCCTTGATTAGATGACCACAGCAGCCTTTGAAGTAATGCAGGCCTTGAGTAAAAACAAAAGTTCCTCAGTATTCCTATGATGCTGCCGTCAAGCCTTGAATTTTTCACCTCTCTGCATCTCAAAGTCTTTCCATACCAGAGTGTACTTTTTGGAGACACAGTAATCACAGCAGCCGTGCTTTTAAACTGTGAATATTAACTGCTGAGCTGTTGATGTGTGTTGTTACGCTGCTCAGGTCTTACATCTGGTGCCCAGTTATTTTTTTCAATCACTCACTCGTCTCAGCAGCAAATGGAGTGACACTGGACTCAAATGTGAAAGATTTTCACATTAAAGCTCATACAGGGAACACTTGGCATACTGTAGCAGGGTATTGGAAAAGACTGTGAGAAATGTCTCATTTACTCAATGACTTCACTTTACAGGCATTAAGTAGCTGTTAAATATTGCTCTTGAATATTTATGTCAGTTGTAGTCTCTTCCACCAGGTCGTAATTTAAGGCCTGCTGCAGTGTTGACTGTAATGGATTGATTTGGACTGTATGATTGTCTGTATCAAAGATGGCAGAGTCATGTGAAGGAGCTCTTTGTTTGTGTCTGGTGTTTGTTGAATAAGAGTCCTACTGTATGATTCTGGATGTGTGGTATAAAAGGTTTCTCTTGTCCAGTGAGGAGGCGGACAGGAACTGTGCTGTCAGGGTCCATGAGAGCGTCTCATGTCATCAGGTGAACTGTAAACCACACCAGGATCTGGCCAAGAGGACAAAAGCACTCAGATCTCTCTTCTCTTATATCCATCTGGTCCTCCTCTGCTCCTTTTGGAAAGAATGGGACTAAATGTCAGCTGTATTTGAAGAATATTGTCATATGGATTCATTCTGATTATTAATTAGATCAGAAGTAGAAATATTATTCTATTCTCTTACAAGTATTACAAGTCCTGCATTCAAAAGAAAAAGCACAGAAGTATTATTAGCTAATTGTCCTTAAAGTCTTACACATTGTGCAGTAAAATGACCAATGCCAAGGCTATTTTATTGAGATGTGTTTATTTCATCATATATTAATGTATCATTATCACTGACGCCTTACTGTGTAAGCAGCTTTTTAATGCTGCTTGTGGTTGAGCTAGTTTACTGACTTTACATGCTGTTGTGTAGTTTAGTCTGTCACATCACATTATATATATATATATATATATATAGCTCGTTGTAGGTTTTGTATTTTATTCTGCAAAGTAACTAAGTGTAGATGTCACAGCCACTGCTTCCTAAAGAGCAAATTATATAAAGTATCTACATAACTACATGCTATATTTGAATACTATACATCTCAGTGCTTACATACACATAGTATATACTCCAACATATACATAAAAAAAGGAGGGGACAAACCCTGTGTTAAGTAATTCAAACCAACACAACAACAAAATCTGGCCCAAAAATATTCCATGGAGCTGAATCAACACCTCTGTGGCACAGTCGCTCTGCACGGTTATATCAATATAGATTTACATGCATGTAAAGTCTCCGGGGTTCCTTTCAAATCACATTGAAGGTTCACATTGTAGGAAACTCTGTGTGTCTTGTCTTCCTCCTCTCCTTTCTCTTCTCAGGCTGTCAATAGGGAACCATGTGCAGCTCCCTGAGCCCCAAACAGCCCAGTGGCCCCGGCCTCACAGACATGCAGCAGTACCACCAGTGGCTGGCCAGTCGACATGAAGCCAGCCTGCTGCCCATGAAGGAGGACCTGGCCCTGTGGCTCACTAACATTCTCGGTAAGCAACACTCCAGCACATTAAAAGAAAGGCCAATCTGACTTTGAGGATAGGTCAGCATCAGAGTTATGTGATAGTTTACATGCCATAAACCGATTAGTAATACAGTGTATAGCTAATTTACACAGCCAGAACAGGTCTACATCTTCTTGAAATGTTAACTTTAATCTGTTGGTGTTTGTTATAGTCATATACAGTTGGATTTGAAGAATTTCACAAATTCACATACAAATCAAACAGTTGTAGTTCATATTTTTGCATTATAAATCCTCAGGGCAGCAAAATGAGGATTTTTTATCTGGTGTTGTTGCTGATTCATTCAAATCATTCTCTTAGAAAATAGCTTGGCTTTGAAAAGTCCTGCACATTGTCTTATTTCTTATTCTTATATATAGTAATTGAACTGGTATTGCTGATGTAAACCCCTGTGCAGGGGACTGGAATCAATCTGAATCTCATTACAAACTATTTGAAAGCGGCAGAGTGTGTGAACCTGTTTCTATGTTACACACGCTCCCATAGATTTGCCATAATTGAATAATGGGGATCATTAACAGTGCTTGAGAAATGCACAGCCAGTGGTGGAGATTAAGCAGCGGAGCGAGCATCAGCAGAAGCTTTGTGCGTCGTTGCTGTTGTATAATAAATCTACATGAAGCAGTCTGTCGGTCTGACCTGAATTTAGTGACTCCAGTTTAGCACAAATCAACTCTTGGGCATGTTTGAAGAAAGTTGCATTTCAGGTTAACACACGAGAGACTTAGGGTGGTTCAGACTTTTTTCCATAGCCTGGTTCTCAAACTGGGGGTCAGGACTTCCACAAAGGTTCTCGAGATGACTCTAAGGGGTCATGAGATGATTTCTAGGGTAGTAAATAAGTAAAAAACTAAATTCTGTTACACAAAATTATATCTATTTTTTTGACATTTCTCTAGTCGTTGATTATTTTTGAGTTATATACTATATATGGAACCTTGTGCTAAGAATTTTTTGTCAAACTACCATTTATAAGGTTGATAACAAACCTTCAAACTCAATGTACTAATGTACCAATATGAGTCTTCTTAATGCATCTAATATGAGTCAATTGAAACAAAAAGTCTGTGAATGGAAATTCTCTCTGTGACTGAACTACTTGCAACTCGTAGGGCATCCACCCTGTGATGGAGGTAACAAGTAGCCGTTGCTTTGTGTTAGCGGTTAACACAAAAGTTCAAAACACAAAAAAGGTTTGGCCCACTGCTCTAAAAGATGCTGATTGGGAGGTTTAACTGTGGCACCACAGACCCGCCAGTGTCAACACAAAAATGTTCTTGTTAGCAAAACACAAATTCTCGGAATTGCTCGAGCAGAGTAGGTGACAATGTAAGAATTAAGCGATTGTTTGCAAAATTTCCAAGAGGTAAAATGCGTGTTTGTCAGCATTTTAAGATTTGTTAGACTGTGGAGAAGCAGTCTGCTGCCTCATTATTTGAGATTTTTCTTTTTGAAGCATGTATGGCTGCAATTAACATGGTTTAAGATTGTTCCCCCAAAAACTGAGAGTTATTGGAAATCCTGTAGACTTTATACGGTCAAACTGACATTTGCCTAATGGACTTGAAGCCAATTAAGTCCCTGAAACTGACTCCTGACTTTGTGCGAGCAACTTAAAACAACTTCAGTATCTTCTTTTTTTCTTTTTTTTTCTACCTCTGGCGCTCTGTGTATTTGCACTGGAACCAGCTAAGCCAGAAACCTCTGGTCTGATGTGGTGAGGGATCAAGGATATAAAGGCTTCAGAAGCACAAGCACCAGTGTGTCACCTGTAAATACACAGCATTGAACCAGTTTGTTGGTTAAAGCCATGCTCAGTACCTTTAAAGTCTTTTTATGCAGAGCAGGGTTTACAGTTTCAGGTGGGAGGAGCGGTGTGGTATGAGGATGAGTCCACTGATTGAGTAGGAGGTGGATGCTTGGTTATACTGATGAGTCATATTGTTGTTGAGAAGGGAGGCTGGTTGGAGGAACTGAGCAATTTATAGGACTGAGTATATGAGTTAGAATATTTCCCAGAGAGCCCTCTGGAATATATTTTCCTCAAACAGCGAGGAGTGAGGGAGAGAATGAGCGTATAAGACGGGAGCTCACTGAGTGTTTCTCAAGATTTCAATCTCTCTTTTCTGGGCTCATTTACAACATTTGGAACTCATTAAACATCGAACCCCCAGACCCCTCCTCCTATAAGAAACAGAAAAGGGATAAAAAAAAAAAAAATCTCTCCAGTTTCTTTCCACAGACACCCCCCTGCCACCACCTCCTATTTCACAATGATCTAACTAAGAAAGAATGGTCCTCTGGAAGTCAGTCAACTGGACACCACATGTTGATCACCAATCCATCTCTGCAACTGTGCAGGGCAATGAAGCATTACTGTGCACGATCAGATGCTACCTTTTCATATGTGGCTGTCATTACCACCCCGTGGTGTTTTCCCAGAAAATCCCCCCAGATTCCCCCAAATTATGTCATAAAATTTGAACATTTGGCTTCTGCAGAGCTGCATAAACCCGGCAGTGCAAGCCAAGCCCAATCAGCCAAGCAGTTTCTTGAGAGTCAACAACATCGCATCAGGTTCAGCTCCAACTGGGAATGGACTGGAGATTAGATTTTATTTCCTTATACAGTATATATTTTAAATGAGCACTTTTATGATGAATGTATGGTGCTGGACTCTGCTTTCTTTATGTGTCCCCTGGTCAGGTCTGGAAATCACCGCTGAGAGCTTCATGGATCGCTTAGACAATGGTTTCCTGTTGTGCCAGCTGGCTGAGACGCTACAGGAGAAGTTCAGGCAAAGTAATGGAGACCTGTCTGCCATTGGCAACAGCAAGGTACAGAGAAACCTGAGGATTACAGTAGTCTGGCATGATAACAGATACAGTGAAAACACTAATCTAGAAGCCAAATCTTGGCTGAAAGTGTTCCTAAACTAACTTTCAGCTTGAATGATTTGACAGAAAATTGTTTCTGAGAGGGAAAACATCAGTCTGGCAGTATTCAATGATTGAATCAGACTGACTGACAATCACTTTAGTCTCAGCTATTTTAACAACTCTACCGCTTGATTATAAAAGATGTGAAATCCAGACATAAGAAATACTGTTTTTGTGAATGTTATTAACTCAAATCCATATTTAGAATCATTTTTTGGTATTGCCACATAAAGTAACCACTGAAATCCCGTGTATTTTTTACTTATTTCGAAAGGATGGTTTAAAGGCAACAGTATCGAAGTTTTATTTACTATCACTGAGACAGAAAACAGCTGTACCCCAGGTTTCCCTCAACAAGATCAATATAAACTATATTCATCTCAAAGAAATGTCAATATCATGACCTCTGGATGGCAAAACTTAAAAATTATAAATAGCATTTGTTTTCCACCGTGTGTCTCACATCTTACTTGTTGATTGGTTTTGGCAGCTCTGACTATGAATCCCTGTTTTGCAAGGGCCTCCACAATTTCAGAAAGCAAAGCACAAAGGTGGGGTGGGGGATGGGGGATGGGGGCCGGCAGCGTTCAGCAGGGCAGAAATGAGAAAGTGAGGCTGGCAAGGACACATTAACTGACGGGGCCCCACATCCCCTGTGAGAATTGGCAGAGCTAGTCATGAGTCGTGAGTGAGGGTTTATGGAATTGAAAAGATTAAAGGATAACTTTATGTGGTTATCTGTAATTTAACCCAAGCAATCAGTGCAAATGTATATTTTACAAACAACTGGGGCACAAATCCTTCGACTGTATCAGCTTCAGGGCTACTGCAGGGCAATTCTGAGGTCTTCACATATATTTCTACCTGTGTAAATGTCAATAGAAACATCCTGTTGAGATTTGCATTGATCAACCCTGCAAAAAAAATTTTTAGCTCGGTTTGTTTTCTTCAAGACTAACATTTGGCTTCATGCCAGTTTCAAGATGAAAATAAAAATTGTCATAATCTCTAATATGACAAAGTCATGATCTTGCAGGTGTGAATTGCATGTTGTTCAATATCTGCAGTTACTATAGATATCTACTTACACATTGAGCTGACGTCTGTTGCTCAGTGGGATCATATGTTTGATTAGTTCATGTTTCTGTTCAAAGAGGCAGTTGGCTCTTTAGTGAAAGTTGTTGATGTTTGCACTGAGGCATTACTGCGCTGATGACGGCGGGTCTCCTGATCTCAGTGTGAGTGCAGCAGCAGCACAGATGTGAGGAAATACTTGAGGTCAATGACCGTGGGATGACAGAGGAGCTGCTGAAATAGAGGAGCCTATTGATGACGGAAGCCAACAGAGAGCAGAGGAGTGATCAGACAGATAAGCGACTTCAAAATCAAACAAAGCCACGTTATGATGTTTTATAGTGAGCGTGATTTATTGCTGTTTGTCCATGTTATCGCTTTATAGACCTTGCCTTAAGTGCTTTCACTTTAATGAGCTGTGAAAGATTAATATTGCTCTTCATGCCTGATACACTGTACTGTACCTCACCTTATGACTCGTCAGGTTTACAATTCACGTCAAACAACTGTTGCTTTGTCGTGGTTCTTTCTGGCTGTAGCTGTTTACTGTTTACATTTCACCACTTTAAAGAGAAAATCCATCTGTGTTCAACTCCCATTATAAGTGGATGTGGTGTGTGGAGTGGGAATAAGTGATTCCAGCAGAGGGACAGGATAAAGCGCGCTGTTTCCTGCTCATCTTCCTACGTCTTCACATCAATCAACATGAACTACAGATGAATGAAGATTATATTTCTTTCTTGTCATATTACTGCCATGTGCAATGTTCAATACAACCATCTCATCAACTGTTGCCACTAACTATTGTCACACAGACATTGAAACACACAAATTTAAAGCCTTATTACATGATACCAATATAAAATCTCTCTGCTGGCTCCATGGAGAAAAAGGGGAAAAGCTATCATGGTTCTGTGTAGTTGTTATAAAATCCAAGTAATATTCCCCCAAAATGTTGAACTAGTCCTTTAAAGAAATGCCTGTACAGCTGTGAGGGTAGAGGAATTGAGATTATGCTGCAGGTGCACATAAATAATAAAGTTTTTCTTCTTGACTGAAAGAAAATGACGTGATTTTCGAGCAAAGTACTTCCTCATTCTCATTATTATTTCCCGTCCATTTAAACATAATGTCTTCCAAAAGTTCTTTACCCTCTGTGCAATCATTACACACATAAAGGTGCAGGTATAATTCAGCGAGGCACCCCAGAAATAATAACATGTCATTCTTGATTGTTAGATCAAACCGCACTGCCAATGTGGTTGAGATTATTTCACCAGGAATGCAAAGTAATTCAACAACAGAAAGGATCCCAGAAAAAAAGTCCAAAGGAGAGCCTGGAAAGAAAAGAAAAATACCCACAAAAGCCTGCATATTTCCAGCATGAGCTCATTGCACCTTTCTCATAGCACAGACGCACATATCCTGTATAAAACCACAGGAAGGCGCATAAATCTCTCCGAACAGACCGTGTGGGGGCTGAGACCCATAAGCATGTCATTTGATCCCAAATCATAGAAGGCCTGGTAAAGTAGCCCTGGTTTTCTAACCCGCCATCTCCCATATTGATCTCTATGAAAAAGGGTCCTTGATCCTGATGTGAAACCAGAGCCTCAGCAGATGGAGAAGAAATCTGTGTAGATAAAGTGTGTGACTCTGTGTTGTGATGGAAACTCTGGGGGTTGGGGTGGACAAGTCACCCTGGTGGACCTTTGTTTTCTCTTTGTCACAGACAAAGTAAAAGCTCATGTTCAGTTCAGAGTCTATTCAAAAATGAAAGTGACTCTCCATCTTAGGTTCATTTTTGAGTAGCGTACATGAGGACATCTACTGACCTTTATGTCCGCAGCAGCGTATTCCCAATCGGAGGATACCATGTCGGCAGAGCGCCCCCTCCGGCTCTTTCTTTGCACGGGACAACACAGCTAACTTCCTGGCCTGGTGTCGCGAGGTTGGAGTTGGAGAGACATGTCTGTTTGAGTCTGAGGATTTAGGTGAGTCTGTTTTTTTTTTCTGCCATAAACATCACAACACTAGAAAACCTGAATGTAGGACAAACAGGATCCAGGTCTCAAAGAGTGTTGTACCTCTGTCAACCTTTGGCTGTCTCTGGCCACTGTCAGGGCATCAGACTCAGATTTCTGTTTCCTGTGAATGGCCTGATTGTGCAGGTAGGGTATCACACAGGTTGAACTGTTTCCCTCTCCTCCCCTCTGCGGTTCAGAGGACTCACATCTCCAGGCTCTGCTTCAGCTCCTTTGACTTCCACACAAAGCTCACAAGGGCAGCAGTCTGCTGGGAGCGGTGTGAGGGCAGCAGCTCTACCTGCCGATAAGGACGTGTGCATCTTGAATACTGTGCTCATGCACAAAATGTCTGGAGTAAAACAAAGGGAGCACAGACAGAAGGGTGTGAGTTAGTAGGAAAAGTAGGCCAACACTATGCAAATGTTTTCCTCAGCTCATACAGGGGCATTTTGCTCTCTTTCTCATTTATGCTCTCAGTATGTTATCTGTCTCTCTCCAAGCTATTGCAAGGATTTCTTGCACGTTATGTCATTTAATATGTTCACAGGCAAGATATGTGTGGGCTGACGATCAGATGTACAGTATGTGACCCTGCCTGTGACAGAAATACCTAAAATATTCATACATTCTTGTAATTTCTGACTAATGGCTGCTTGACCATGGCTAAGCAATTTAAACTATGCAAATAATTTCTGAAGGCCAAGTTACACACACAGCAAGCTGTCAGCACCGCTCCTTCAAATGCAGCAGACATGTAATTTTGATATAAAATGTTGTGGAAACACTTTAGAAAACAATACCTGATGTCTGTCTTCTGTCTCTGTCTCTGTCTCTGTCTCTCTCTCTCTCTCTCTCTCACTCTCTCTCTCTCTCTCTCTCTCTCTCTCTCTCTCTCTCTCTCTCTCTCTCTCTCTCGCTTCCTTTCTTTCTCTGGATGGATTTATCAGTTCAGCAGTAGATGTAACAACACCAGGTTTGCTATCATGCAGTGGATATTCTGTCTATAATGCATGGTGTGGTGTGTCACATGTATCATTCATCTTGTGTCCACTCTCACTGTCTGGTCATATAGTCAGTGAAGGTAAAATAAACACCTTGAGCCTTTGTACACATCCCAAGTTTGAACAATAGTTTTTCATTTGGTGCAAACAGGATTGCAGTGGGATGAATGCATGAAGTTCATGAGCTTGTTTTTTTTCTGCATCTTACCATTGTCCTCTCCATCGCACAGCCACTCACTCTCATTCATTGCCTTGTAACAGATACCGTACAATGTCAATATACTGTAAATACCCAAGAGTGACATTTCTTTTATCACTTCCTGCAGTTCTTCACAAGCAGCCACGCGAAGTGTGCCTCTGTCTTTTAGAGTTGGGACGGATAGCATCACGGTACGGTCTGGCTATTTCATATTTTCTCATTATTTATTTACGTTTATATTTGACTATTTCCCCATATACTTCTTGTGTATCGTTTCTTAATTTGACACCTATGGAATAACATTACAGGTACAATGTGGAGCCTCCTGGCCTTATAAAACTGGAGAAAGAGATTGAACAAGAAGAGAAAGCACCTCTACCTCCTCCATTACCTGTATCTCCAGCTCAGCCCCTCCCAGCATCTCCTGCGTCATCTCCTTCCCCGTCTCCTTCCCCGTCCCCGACTCCTCCCAAAGTGACTTCCAGCAAGAAAAGTACAGGGAAGCTGTTGGATGATGCTGTAAGTCAGCACAGTTCACTCCTGATTTTGTTTCTATTTTAAATATCAGAGGGGAAACATCTGTAATAAGTTTATCTTTGTGTGTGTTACAGGTAAGACATATCGCTGATGATCCGCCCTGCAGGTGTCCAAATAAATTCTGTGTGGAGAGACAGTCGCAGGGTCGATACCGTGTTGGGGAGAAGATGCTCTTTATCCGAGTGAGTGTATTCTAATCACCCTATAACGTGGCTTCATGTTTAGACGTATTCAGGATCAGCTGGTTGGAAAGTATTCAAATCCTAATGAAACTTAAGAATACCACAGTGGAAAAATGATTAATTTAATGTAAAAGTTCTGGTTTAAAAGTTTAACACAGGGAAAAGAATAAAACTATCAAAACCTTAATTTTTGCAATTTAAATGTAAAAGTACTGATTGTGAAGAATCTTTGTTGATTAACACATAAGCAGTATTTTATTGTTTTGAGAGGCTGAAGAGAGGTTGCTTGTTAATTTATTTACACAAATGAAATATAAAAAGACAGATAAAAAATTGAATATATAAAATCATAAAAGATGCAGGCAGGCAGAGAAAAAAAACAAAACAAAAGGATTGTGGTTCCATTAAAAGAGCATCAGATATCATCATTCCAACAACATCGTATTTCAGGAGCACAATAACTAAAATCGTCATTTATGCTCTCATCTGTGCAGACCAGAATCAAAATATTATTCAGACTTGAAAAGCATGTTTTATAAAACCCTCTGGGGATGGGTTTACAACTTTACTGGGAGCTGAGTTCCACTATTAGAAGATCTGAATTGCTTATTTGAAGTTGTCGGAAATACAGACCGCAGCTGATGAATGTTCTGCTTTCACAGTTATGAATGGTGTTAAGTGTACTTCAATAATTATTATGAGATACTTGTACTTTACTTAAGTACCTCAGTTTTATGCTACTTGTGCTTCATTACATTTATTTGACAGCTGTACTTACTAACTTTGACTTTACAAATTAATATTTTTTATACAAACCTTATCATCAGCATGAAATATGATATATTGTTAAAGAATTATCTCCACCTCAACCAGACACAATGCCACATTAAAATCTTTCTTGCACATCAGTGCTCCAGTAATAATAATTCAACTCTGACATGGACGTGCTCAGTGAGTAGGCTACTCTCTACTCTTTATATTTATAAAAATATGAAGTCCAACAAAATGGAAATAATCAAAAAAAAAAGTGAAGTGAACTGTATGATTAAACTTACCTCTATGAGTCTGTTCATAGTGCTTAATGAGTGAAAATATGTGCAAGTTAGCTGTGGAGAATTACTCTAATTGTTGTACAGAATTAATAGATTTTTACAGTGGAACACAGGGCTGATAACAATAAAGTCTCACACTGCAGTGCAAACTCCTCTCCATTCACACACCATATGGCAGTGTGTTGATACTTGGCTGGCTTTGGGATGAAAGTCATCCATTGTGTCTGAAGAGCCCGCCTTTGCTGTGAGGTTTCATTTGCTGGTAATGGTATTCCGACAATGTCCATCTTCAGCCAAGCATAATGTGGCTCACTAGCTATAAAAGGAAAATAAAAGCCACTCATTTCCATATGATCTGAGGACCAAGGTATTACTCGGAAAATATTTAACTAAGCTGCATCACCCAATACTGGCTGTTGTATTAATTACATCTTATAATCACACTGAATCTATCAGCCCAGGAAATGTAGCTTGACTCCGGAGTGGAGGGATAAAATGGTTCTGGAGAAAGATAAATGGAGGCTAACACAGATTAGAGAAGTAGCACCGGTCCCCTCGGGATCTTGGTTACTTGGCAACCCACAACCAGGATTCACACCTCTAAGAATGTGATTCATGCCGACGGTATGTTTAGGATGTGCAGACGTGCAAAAGAGAGGTTACTCTTGGATGTCCTCTGCTGTCAGCACATTATATTGCAACTGCTACTGTTAAATCTCAACCAAATCAAATCTCAATCATTGTACGGTTTGGATGAACAAAGCTGTTTTGAAATATTAGTGAGGAAAGTAAGTCGCTAATTTGTAAGATAAAAAGTATTTCACGCTGGAATGAACATGATAAACAATTTAAATCTGAATATTTATCATTGTTTATGCTTTTCATTTACTGAACGCTTCTTCATTGTGTTGCTGAGCAACCAAGGACAAATGGTGAGAAATTCACAGTGCCCGCTCAGTGCAGTTGTACAGTATGTAGTCTAAAAAAAACACAAATATTACATGTGTATTACCATGTCATCATGTGTACTATTCACAGTTACAGTATGTGTGATACATTATTTGATCAAGTCAAACCAAGTGTTAAACCTCTATTCCTCTGTCTCTCTGCCAACACTCTTCACGGAGAAGATTCTTTAATTAAAATTCCTCCGATTATTTGACCCCTCAGCAGCTGTTCTCACTGAAAAGGCATGAATACACGGCCAGCCAGTGTCTGTATGCAGCTGCAGAGCGAGGACAACAGTGGCATGCAGCACACATAAGACTCTACTTCACAATAATCTGTACAGCCTGAGAGGCTGACCTTCTCAGCTCCTGGAATAAATGAGGTGGTTGTGGCTTCAACAAGGGAGCAGTACTAACGCTGCAGCGTCTGTGAGAGGTGCTGTCCCAGCTCGGCCCCGGGCCTCTGCCCTTCTCTAGGTTGCTGAGGGGAGACTCGGTTTCAGTAGGGGTCTCGTCCCAGAGCAGCATGATTGAAACCGCTCTGCATCACTCGGATCCATTAAATCCACAGTCACAAAGCCTGAAGGCCTGGTGCTGGTGATTGGAAGCACTGCCCTGCCACTGCCCTCTAGATTGATTCTTTTAAGAGGCTTATAAATGTTGCATGTTATGGTGCTGGAGGGCAGGAAGCCTCATACCTGGCCAGACTGAGGTGACAATCTCATGAGGTAGTTTACCCTTTTTATCATTACGATTTAGTTTGGTATTTGTCTGAACCCTTCTCTTACTGATTGTGTTTTTAAAGACAAATGTAGCATCACAGAGGTCTTTGCAGTAACCTGCTTATTTACTCTGCTTCTGGCGGCGTTCAGTAACAAGGCTTGTTTTAGTGGAGGTGTAATGATATCTTAATGAGGTAGGGGGTGATAAGGCTCCACAGTGAGGCCGACATGTTTTATGCGTGTGGCCTCTGGGGAATGCAAGTGTCTGAGCTTCCAATATACCAGAGCCTTTTATTTCTTCTTCTCTTTATTATAATGGCTAATGTTGCCATGGTAGCCAGCCTTGAGAATGTGTCCTGATGCGGCAGGGGGCATCATTTTGAAGCAAATGCTGCAGATTTAACAATGAAAAAAAAACAAAAACAAATACTGCATTTAATTCATTGGTTAAACAGAGCATATCATTTTTGGGTTTGATCCTTTTTAGTGATGAAATGTCCATGAGCAGAATATTTGTTAGAAATGCTAATGGTGTGCGTTTAGGGACGGTAGTGTCTGTAATTGTCCAGGCTGAAATATATCAACAACTACTGGTTGGACTGTCATAAGATTTAATGGAGACATGGTCCCCACATGAATCCAACTGACTTGGCTGATGACTGGCTTTTCCTGAAGCGCATCAGGAGGTTCATGTTTTTGTCTGTCAGTCAAAAATTGGGTTGAAATTACAGACTTGTAAGGCCTTGGGTGATCCCCTCACTTTGTCTCTAGCACCACCATGGGAACTACTGGACTGATTTGCCAAGAAAATTTGCTTCATTCAACATTCATGTCCCTCTCAGGCCGAGCCTTAATAACTTTACCTCTTACGCCATCAAAAGGTCAGAATTTGTGTTTGTTGAATGTGTTCAATACTTTTGTTTTATGACATTCTAGTCTCAGCTGAATGGTAAACTTAATACCTGCTTAACATTAGCATCTTAGAATCTTGTTTATTGGGCTATGTAATTCCATACATCAAACAGTGAGATGTCTCTGTCAGTCTTTTTGTCAGTAGCTTGCTCAACAAGGCATTAAGCTGGTGGGAGATGGAGAAAGTCTCCCTCCAGGGACATCAACCAGTCTGAGGTCTCCCCATCAATCAACAAGCTCTGACATCAAAGCCATGCTTAACTGTTCAGTCTACTTCAACCCAGAGCCTCAATCAGGGAAATGACATTAGTCCTGTAGAAAGGGGAGCTCAGCAACAACCATTCAAAGCTCTCCTTTGACATCAGAAGCAAAACCATAATCCTATTTCTCTCTGCAGATGCTGCACAACAAGCACGTGATGGTGCGCGTTGGTGGAGGTTGGGAGACCTTTGAGAGCTACCTGCTGAAACACGACCCATGCCGCATGCTCCAAATCTCCCGGGTGGAGGGCAAGACGTCCCCTGTCAGCGGCAAGTCCCCGAACATCAAGGACCTCACCCCTGACAGCTACCTGGTGGTGGCAGCTCACTACCGCAGCAAAAAGTGAAACTGAAAAGTGCCATTAACAGAAGGACACAGAGGAGGACTTCTTTCTGTTGTTTCCTCCATAATGGACATGGCTATCTAACATATGCCTGATTTTATAAATAACACAGCTACAGACACAACAGCATTCATGGAAAGCTCACTTGTGTAATAGTGATGCTTGGCTTTGTTTTCTCAGACAAAGAGAATTCAATCAGATGGATGTTTTTGATCAGATGAAGTCTGGAGTCACACAAGTAGGCCCTTAACATTGGCTGCGGTTGTGTTTTATCTAGTTTTGCAGAACTGCAAAATGAAAGCTTTGAAAAAATGTGTTAATCATGACAATATAATGAATTAACTGGGTACCAGTGGAGCTGTACATTGTATTTGTATTTTAAGCAATATACAGTATCACTTTGAGTAGGTAGAATGTTTTCAGTTTTTTGTAAGTGGTGGAGGTTCCAGGACCTTCAGGAAGTCTGTAGCCCTTGGCAACCTGGAGTGGATTCCTTGATTTGTTGGCAGACAGAATTTTTTTACACTATACATTTTACACTAAGACATTGTATTGTTTTTCCTGTTTTTTTGTGTTTGTTTTTTATAATTGATTGTAATTTGGCTGATATTGCTATCCTAAATTCTTTACAGTAGGACACCACACTCAAGCTTCAAATTGAACTTTAACTGTGGCATTACAAGTGAAACAAATATTAACACATCAGTCCACTGTATAGTATTACTGTAAAAACTACCACATCTCTCCTAGAAACCAAACATTGTGCATAAAATGTAATGGCTTTTTCTTTATAATCTATTTCTTATCAGGCTAACAACATGACGCAATGCTTAGATTGTTTACATATTGAATAACAATTCTATGCAATGCATTTTTATACCATTGTATATTTTTTTTAATGATTATTAGCTCCTGTTTTATAGCATTTCTTTTATAAGAATGGGGACAATCGCTTGGACAAGATGCAGTGTGTAGTTAAATAGAACCTCATTGATAATAATACAGTAGCCATAATCATCTATGGTTCTGCAATTCTTTTATGTTATACATTACTGGCCTCTAGAGGCAGTGCAATCATTGAAATCTGAGGAGTTATGTTTAAGATTAGCTTTAGATTTTTGCAGTTAAGAGACATAATTCACAACATTATCGTCCAATGTGTTCATTTCTCCAACGTCCTCCTTGGAAAATGAATGTGGGACTGTTATGAGATCAGTGGCTATGCAATGTAACCCATAAGCCTGTATGTGCGGTAAGTCCAATGTCTGTTTTTAGATGTAAAATTTCAATAAATTCTTAAAACTTGAATTTTCAAAACTTGAAAAATCTGTCTTTTCATGATATACAAACCATTATTGGGTCAGCTTTTTATCAACTGAAGACTCATAAAATATACAACTATGTGTAAATATTTATTAGCAAGAATTAATCTCAAATGCAATATTTTGCTGATTTTATAACTGACCATTTTAACCAAATAAAAAATGTTATCTAAACTTAAATCATCTTTCTGTTAAACTGTAATTCCACAGGCGAAATCCACACAAATGTAGCAGAAATGTGATTTATTGTAGCAAATAACGTTGGCTTTCTACAAAATGGCGAGAGCACCGGAAGCATTTAAGGATCAAGTGAAGGCTGTAAGAAATGCACTCATTTTAAGCAAGTCAAAGTAAAAATTTCACAACATACACACTTATTCTTTCCTTCACTTTCTTCACATCTCCATTGTAGCTGACATGAATCTCTCCCAATATAGAATGTAAGCAAGCCTATTCGCTCTTTACCAAATACTGACAAACTGTGTGCAAATAAATGTCTAACAAAAGCTTCTGTTTGTCCTATAGTAATCCATAAACACATTTCATTTCTCATTTATATTAGCAGGCAACATATTAAGTGTTTTGCATACATTATAATTCAATACAACAAACTGAAATTGTGCAGAAGAAAACCCAAAAAAGGCTCTATTAAAAGGAGAAATAGCAAAGGCCAGTGCAAAGTGCAATAGGTCATTAAAGGGTCATCAAATTTACTGGTTGGAGAATGTGTTGTTTTACACTAAATAATGTATTCATTAATTACATTAATCTGTAGCTGGTGCACATTTTGTGAAGTATGCAGTTTGTGCTTACTGATGGAATCACCAAATTAGCAACCAAACAACATTGCACCAAGGAAAGACCTATTCTCAACAAAATGTGAAAGACACCAACACTTTGCACTGTCTATCTCATCAACACGAAAGTACCCCAGAGACTGTCAAAGTGAATTACAAGTTCAGTAACTGCCAACAAGTTGTAGCACTGTTTGCAATAGCCTTTGTGTTACCAACAAATAGAGCCCTGAACAAGGTGAAATGAGTGTTAACTGGACTCTTATTACTGTACACCAATACTACAGTAAGCACACTCAGATTTCTTCGTAAACATAAACTGTCTTGTGAAATGTGTCATTTGCATAATGGATTTTTGGAGAAGTCATACAAAAAGTAATGTGGCCATTAACCGATATACAGTGAATATTGATCCTCGACTATGAAACCCAATAAGAAAAGTGCAATGATGAAGCCTATGTTATAAGTGTGTTGAGGACAGCTCATATAATATGACCACAGTCACCAGAGATACAACTTGACTTCATAATTATATTATTTTGTTTTTATCTAATGCGAGCCACTGTAAGACTCTAGTCTAATCAACTGTCAAATAAAACTAATACAGTAGTATATGTATTTGCTTGCACAATACTGTGTATCGTTCTTGATTTGTCCAAAGGTCCAGGCTTGTGTAACTTGGCAACAAAGGAGCTAGTCCAGCTGTTCTGTCTGTAATCACTTCATAACATCATAAAATAGGCAAAAAAAAAAAAGGTTGAACAATGGACAGCAGTTCCGACATCTTTCAAGTCATCTTGCAGCAATTCTTCATGTTGTTTTGGACTTCAGAGTCGAGACTTCAGGTTTTACCATCAGGGTTTTCATCCTACCTGCCACTATAGGAAAAACAAATGGGGACAAAATATCATAATATTACAACATTGTTCAGTTTTAAGAAATGGAGCTAGTTCATATATATATATATATATATTTATGTGTGTGTGTGTGTGTGTGTGTATACAATTTTAACTTTGAGGTGCTAATAAGTTTTCTCTGCCATCGAATGTGGTTTCTTGCCAGGAGCAGGTGGTGGTGGTGGTCATGATAATGGTAGTTTGCCAACAGCCTCAGCCATCATTGCATTTACAAGCCGAGAGGTTAAAATACACCCTCTTGGCAACGCTACTTCTTCATCCTCTCATGCTGAACTGAGGGCAGACTCACTATGGTGACTCACTATCAAAAAGTTGTATTATGAGATGGGCCAGGCTGGGGCTGGCTGGTTAGCACGGAAACTTCATAAAATGGAAAGAAGTGAGAGAAATAAAAATTGGCATTACTTTTCACCACTGGACGTATCTCTTGGCAAGTAAAGGAATGAAGTGTGATGCTGCACTCTCAATGTTTCTGCTAGACCGGTAGGTAAACAGCTGTTAAGGATAAACATAAAACTAACCTTCAACCCACCACCACCAGACACAGAGGTGGTCATGGCCTGCTTCTCCGTCTCTTCGTTTTTTTTCCTTTTCCTTTCGACAGCTTCTGGATTTTTAACACCCCTGTATGCTGTCTGAAAAACAGAGTGGACTATGACCAAGGGTATATAGGCAATGGTGTTTATCTCTTGTTTATTTACTGTTCTATACAAGGAGTCTTAAAAACATGCATGTGTTTCAAAAGCATTTTTGTAGTAAATTGTATTACCACAACCATTTCAGAAAGCTCAAGGCATGTTCAATCACAACTAGCAAAAGGGCATTCAACTGCCAAATAAGGCAATTCAGCTAAAGCTGCTTTGAATAGTGCAGTACTGCTAGTGACTGTGGCTTAGGACTCAGGAGCTTTCATTTGTGGTAGTAAAAGTGTGAACTGACAGTGTGCCAGTTTAAAGAGGAAAATAGTGATTTGGAGCAGAAAGATGTGCTATAGTCAAAATTGTAGTCAATCCAAAAGATTCACCTGGCCAAGAAGAGGATTCATTCTGGTCCATGTCTACTTACCTTGATATGGCTTTAGCATGTCTCTTACGGGTTTGCAAGTGGCTTTTCTGTACAATAAAAAATTACTCACCACACTGTCAAGTGCATCTACCTTGAATGGGGTGTATGTATTTAATATAAGGTTAGGACGTTATACTATAGTCAGTGACCGGATTATTAGGTAGATCTAGCTAAAACTAATGCAGTCTGAAACAACAACCCTCCAATAAATCCCATATTTTTAAAGATCATAACGTCCAGTCTTTGATTAATCTGTTTCAGAGAAGGTTATAAACCATAGCCTACCATAAATCAAGCTTTCATCATGATAGGATTTATTGCTGTCCTAGTTATAGCTGTATAAAAGTGTTTTAGCAATTGACACATTGGCAAACATATAAAACCACTTATAACTTACCTCTTTTTGTCTCTTCTCGGCGGCCTCGGCTAACTGTCGTCTCCTTGTATCCTGATAACACAGAAAACTTAAGCTAACACTGCAGGCAGGTCGTCTTCTCTTAGTTAACCATGTTGGGCCTGGAGCATACTTGTCATGCCATTGTGTACAGAGGCTAAACACAGTTAACGCCTCCTAAACATTACCGAGTAGTGCCTATACTGATGATTAGGGAAATTCACTTAGGTTCAAATAATGTGAGACATTTTATAGTTTATAATGGATCACAGCTGGTATTAAATGCTGTAGTAAATTAACTCACGGGATCTGGAGTGACAACAACGTCGTCCGCTGCTCCACCAAGGCACGGTAAGCACATCCCCATACTTGTTATTCCGGCAGAAAAAAGGCAACGTTGAAAATAAGTTATCAGAGATTCTGTTTAGCCTAAATAGCTACCTGGCTAGGTGACAAGCCCGTTTCAAACAACTGGGCTGATAGTTAAGGCAACAGAAGCAGTAGCCTCTACTCCCAGCTACTGTTGTCGGGTCGTCTTGCATTACGTTACCGTTATCTAACGGTAGCTTCTGTTAGCTACGGTAACATTAGCATTCTAGCTAAAAGCTAGTTACTGCTACACTACAAAGCCAGTCTCTGCTGCAGGCCGCATAATGAACATTTTCTTCTCACACCTCTTGTTTAATCGTATCGGCATTTGGAAAATAGCTGTTTGACTGTCAGACGTCTAAGCCAAATATTTTTCCTTCTGTGTTTGTTTTGGTCCGAATTCAACTGGCTGACAAATCTGCCAGAGTATGTTCAATAGCGTTAAATTAATAAACACAGTTGACGATTTCAGATAGCTTGCTCTAGACACAAAAGTAACATCACTGTCATGTCAGCATCCCACGAGGCTACTACTGCGTTTCACAGTTAATGAATCGTAAGTAGCAGTGTAACTAACTTCATCGCGTAAAAATGTGTTCATAGTGCTCGTGGTCTGTGTTTGGTGATCTTGAACATAGCTCAGTGCGACCGTGGTGGCGTTGACACTTCTGATAGCTGGTTAAACAGCGCCACTGTGTGGCGAGGGACAAAACCAACACAAAAATCACCATAGTAACGATGACTCCCTACAAAATGTTGGATCATTTGAAAAAAAAAAAGGGCTTCTGCGTTTTTCTTTTTGGTTTTCAATTTTCTCGAGATTTCTTTCATCACAACTCCACCTTGTGGAACTATGAGGTAATTAAGTCCTTAATCAAACCAGACTGATTCTCTCACAATTTTTGTAACAGGTTTATTGTATGTCACTGTAGAGCCATCCCTCTAATTCTTCTACATTTAACACAGAACACTTTAAAGTGACAGACCCAGCTCCTCGCCCACCTTTAGGGTCCAGGAGCCAAAGAAAAGCTGACAACAGACTAGTTCGTCAAGAAGATGATTTTGGAGACTGTGAGGCTAAAACCCAGGCCCACACTTATGGGTTTTTATTTTTCATATATAGTACTTTTACTTAGCCTATTGTTTATCTTGGCTGGTTGCCCCCAATGTTAAATGAACACATTACAAAACTATAACATCTGTAACATCCACTTGGGTTTTATTTGAGTATATTCAGGTTTTAATATGAACTGTGTTGTTTTTGCATCTTGGAAACAGCAGCCCCTAACCATCTTCCCCCCTAGGCCTTCCTGTTTTGTAAAAACCATCGATGTCTGCTTATCCTTAAAGATTGATAGAATCTCAGTATTTTTCCCATATTATATTGTTTTTCATCTTCTTTGCCTATCTAATATATCTGATTTGGCTCATCTATTTAT